TTTACATACAGACCAGCTCACTGGTTCACTGGCCCAAGAACATGTATAGAGGTAGATGTAAGACACAAGTTTAGCTGTTTAGCCTACAGTTGGGTTTACTTCTACAAGAATTACAAAGCAGATATTTTCTATATTGAATATCAGCAAGAACCACGGTCATAAATGCAGTGTCCCCGGCTGCACGGAGAAAGATTAACATTTTTACAGTCTTCCCAAGGATCCGAAGACTCGACAGGCATGGATTATTTTAGTGTATACCTTAACTGTTATTAAAAGCTGCCTTTACAAATTACTCAGGTTATTGTTGCTCAATATTAACGTTTTTTTTTTGATGATCTGAAACTTCGTACAACATAAAACAGTCAAAACAAAAAAGAAAAACTGTTCAGAATACGGAATTTCCTTTTGGTCTGCTTTGCTTTACATTGTTCTTCTTGTCCAAATATCTTAGAACTTCAGTGGAACTAGATTAAAACCCAGTAAAGGAAATTTGTGGTGACAAAAAAATCTTAGACCTCCACAAAGAGGTCAAACAGATCTCTGTAGCTAAAAGCCAGAAGGAGTAATTGAATTCTTGTCATTTTATGGAGAAGGCGCTTTAAACCTCAGCTTTAAGAGACTGTCTTCTTTCTTTTCTTTCAATCTATTGAGCGCCTCAGTCTCCACCCGACAACCTTCTCCTAGTATTTTTCCATCACCCCCCAAGCACACATCTCTGGAGAACCTCTTACAAGCTTTGTTGTACTGAACTTCCTGGTTTTGTTTTTTTCCATAAAAAAACAGATCTGTAGAGTTTGGATTTCTAATGTCCCTGCTTCAGTTTTGGTAAACACTCCCATATGTTCCCTCATTATTCAATTGGAGTAAATGGCATGAACCTAACATGTTTCAGAGTTATCTCTGTGCCTTGACTGCCTGTACAATGATGGTTCCCTATGTTTTGAGCAAAGTCAGTCTTTCTTGTTCCCGCTGCATGTTGTCATGCAGACCTAATTATTGCCAGATGGTTCAGCGGGTGAATTGAGTGCAGCTTCAGCAGAACCCACTAAAGTTGGGTTTTTACTCTAGCTGAAGCGCTGCTCCGTCAAGGGAAGCACAGTTCAAATAGACTCCAACCTCCAGATGGTTATGTTAGTACAATGCAGACTCTGCTATGATCTTAACATGTGTGCTTTTCTCTGTTCTTCATCACTGACCCACGCAAACCATAACGGTGTGGCTGCTTTGTTTTGATGCAGTTTGACCTCACGTAATGCTGGAATGTTAAACCCCCCGCAACAGATGTAATCATGCTGTTTATCACTTCAATTACTGAAATATTGTGCCTCAAAGACCCGATTCCCTCCTGCATTCCAGTGTTTTAATGCTGGCTGGAATAGACAGGTTGGAAAGTCAAGAGCTCGTTGCTTCATTGCTTTCCTGAATGGATCAGTTTGATTTTATTGCACAGCTAGGATTAAAACATGCAAAAAAAAACCTTGGTAATGCAGAACAATCTTAAATAGTATACAACATAAGTCACTATGATAAACTTTTAAAGGAACTGGGAGCAGGAAGTGTGAAATAATACAAATGCATGTCCAGCTTTTTAATGCTACTGGGTGATGAAGGGTTAAAAAATCAAAACCTTGAACAGGCTTTGTGCTGCATAATATGCTGCAATTCAAGGGCTGGATTTGCTGTGCAGTTATAAGGATGTGGCTTCAACTGACTCTGCATGCGCGCCACCGACTGTCATGATCTCGGCGCTGATGACTGACTTGTTTGCTCATTCCATTCACTCGCCCAGTTCCTCATTACTGCTTATCTGTCTACCTGCTTCGGTTTCTATTTAACCTGCCTTTTTCCAGTCATCAATACTCGATTATTCGAGCCCTCAGTGAGAATTTTCTAGTTGATATTATTTTCTCTGATTGGTTGATCCTGACCTGTTCTGCCTCTCAACCACTGAGCCTGCTTGTTCCCATTCTGATCTGTTTGCCTGACCTGTCTTGGATTCTGCCTGTTCTCTTAACATGGAGTTGTTTCTGCACCTCTTCGGATCTCTGATCTTCTGGCCCAAACTCTTGTGGATATCTTCAACAATGGCTTTGGCTTCACCCTCTGTATTGTCTTGCCTTCCGTCATCTACTTGGATCTGATCCTCTGCCAGTTCTGCAGTCTTCAAGGCTTCAGAATCTGGAACTCCCTGGGCAGCATTCGCCGCTTCTTGCTGGCAGCCGACCGGCTGGAATCTACCCCTTCCTCTGGGAATAGACTGAACTTTAAGACCAAGTTATTGACTCACACGTTCATTATTATTCTCCGCCAGATTAACGTGGTCAATAACCTTTTTTTTTTATTCCTGCAGAGGTTTCTGCCTTAGACGTTCTAGCTGCCCACTGCAAATCTGTTTTTTTTTTTTTATAAATGCCTTTTGAAACATAATACTGTCGGTCTGTCTGCCTGAATACTGGGTCTTCTGTTCTGAACCGACAGATTTTATAAATGAAGTCGCAATTTTTTAAGTAGTAGTAGAGGAAGATAAGGGGGTTGTTTCAAACCCTGTCAGAGATAGACAAAAATCTACTCAAAGCTCACAAAAAACGACACTGGCAAGAAAAAGACAACCTTACCAGCTGTATCTTCTGAGTCTAAACAAAAATATGATAATAGCAGGGCAGACATTGGGATAAACATCAGATATGCGGTCGACTCATGGAGGGAACTTCAGCTGGATTTGGGACTGAAAACTTATGATGACATGATACATTTCCTAGTGATCGTGTAAGAAAACATTATAGAGCATGTTCAGAGCTTGATATAAAAATAATATGAAACCACCAAGGAGGTGATGAGATCTAACATGCAGTAGAGCTAGCTTTAATCACGCAACAGTTGCTGTTTAGCTCTGAATCTTTATAAGCCCATCTTGTTACTGGGGATATTACATTTCATGAGATATTATATATTTTGTACTGTGATATAAGCTCTTTTGCATGTCTGTTTTTATTTACTGAACAGTTAAGCCCGAAACACAAAAAAATCTTATCTCACGATCTGACAAAAGATCATGTCGTATGAGGTTGTGGCGTTTAGCACTCATTTACAGTGAATTGTGATGAACAAACCCAACTTAATATTCTGCGAGACGTTAAGTAGCTACAACTGAGATAGACCCCAGTTCTATTTTAGTTTGACTGCACAGCAATAAATTGGATATTCAATGGCTCTGACATAAAGAGAGACGAGTTGCAAAGTATAGTTAACACATCCGCTTTTGGGGGAAAAAACAAAATAAAATTTCTCAATTGCAGGGTGGGCAGACTTAAATAAACAATCAATGAAACATTTTATTAAAAAAATACATGTTTTTTTTCTTTTTCCAACTGTTTTTGTCATTACACTGTCACAAGTATAAAGCAACAAAATTAGCTCTCTGCATTTTACCCATCCCCTTGGGGAGCAGTGGGCTGCCATTGTAAGTCGCCCAGGGAGCAGTGTGGGGTTAAGGGTCTTTGCTCGGACCCAGAGTGGCAGTCTTTGGGAGAGGGTCTTGAACTCAGAACCTTTGGATTCCAAGCTCAATGCCCGGACCAGTAGACGGCCACTCCCCAGATGCCCATGCCAATGCAGTTCTGGAGGACAGGAAACGAATACATAAAAGTAGTAGCAAAATGGGGGGGTGTACTGAAATGTCACATCCCCTAAGAAAAAAACTGATTGGGTTTTAGTTCGTTGCAATGTTTTCCTTTCATTTAAACTTTGTTTCTACTATTAAAAAAAAAAAATAAACATCCTCTGTTTTGGTTCAAGAAATGCTGTGCAGGTCATGAAGTTAGGCTTTGTTTTGTAAATGCGGCCACTGTTTTTTGTATTTTTTATGAATAATCTCACTCAGTCAGATATTGGACATTGTTTAAATTTGTGAAACAGAAGCGAAAAAAATCAGCACTTATCAGGATCTGCTCTATGCATAGCAGGAGCCTCTTTATATGCAGTCATTTTGATATGGTAAAAAAATCAGATCAGAGATTAAAAGTCGAACGGCACCAGTGTGACTCCGGCTTTATCCTGTTGGTGGCCTACAGGTTTTATGTTCACAGCCACTTCCAATATGGTGGATGTGCCAATATATTCAACGGTAAAACAAAGTACCGTTTGCAAACATTTCAAGCTTATATTAATAACACCTTTCTTAAAAAATGTTTTGGTATCCTTTTGATGCATGATTGCAATATATTTTCACTGATGTGGAAATTTTTCTGAATTTACCTTTACATCTAGGATTAAATTGCTTTTACCCAATCACTGACAACTATTCACACAACATAAAAAGGGCTAATTTTTATAGTGTGGGGTTAAAAAGAAAGCTACTAGTAGCTGTTCAACTGTACAACCCTGAACATATAAAAATGGTTATACCAACTTTCATCAACCTCGTGTTAGCTTGTGCCCTATTTACTAAAGGCTTAAAGCAAGACCAGTGCAACACATCTGAAGGTAGATTCAGTATTTGGTGAAATTGGCTTTTCTTTAGTTATTCCATGCTGTTTCAAGACCTGTGTTATATAGATTATACCAAAAAGGTGGTTAGATCTATGGTTGAGAGTTTTTGCAAGAGCGCAAATGGTTAAATAAAATCATAGTTTGCCATAAAAATAATATATTACAATTGTATTATAGTAAAATGTATTCTAAAAAGTGACAGGGTTTCAAAATGTTTGATTTATGTTTACTTAAATTATAAGTCTTCATCTTAGGAGGAACTTTGTTAATGCATTTGTCTAGGGTGTCCATTGTGCTTTGCTCTGGTTCTTAAGCTCAGTGTTTCATAAGAGAGGTCATCAGTCTTGAAGTTTTGCTGCATGCTCAGCTGCCTTGTGATCCTTCTTTTCACAGATTTCCCCAAATTGGATATTACAAGTAAAAAAAAGATCCCAATCATAAGATGCAACCCTAAAACAATAAAAGAGGAACTGTGAAAATGTGTTCTTCAGAGAAGTGAAAGCTCATCTCACCTTTATATCCAAGAGCAGCAACAGCAATGGTGAGGAGGGTGCACAACACATAGAGCAGAGCTATAGAGGTCTTCAGCGCCCATTCGTTCTTACACTTTGTGCACTGGGTGCCCTCCTGGATCCCTGGGTGAGAACAACGAATACCACATGATTTAGTGCTGTTTATGCTGGAGCAGAAATGTTGCACATATTATAAGAGACTGAAGGTCACTAGGGGATCTGGAAGTTCCACATCTGGATAAACAGCCCTGGGGTCTACATTAAAGAGAGCAACGGTTCCCTCTGGGGCTGGGTGGTGAATGGGAAGGTACAAAACAACAGCTTCACCCCCCACACACACAAACACACACACTGTTTACTCTCAGTAACATGCATGTTTCCCTGAACTCAGTTTTCCCTCAGCAAACTCTCATTGACTTTACTGTACTTTTTTTCAGCACCTTCTTCTATCAAACTGAAATCATGGCCATTCAGCGTATAAAGACACAAGTAGAATTCCTCTTTGAGGATATTTTTCATAACAGATGAGTGGCAAGATCCACAGTGCTGCCGGGAACACAGCTGTATTTCATTTTCAGTTCAGGAAGTGTGCCTCTGTGTGAGTGGAGAGGTTGGGAGGGCAGTGTGTGCATGTGTTGGGGGGTATTCTGGCTTTAATGCACCTGGAATAGCACATCCTGCCAATTTTTAGATGTAGTATAAAGATATAATTGTCATTCATCATTTTAAACTACCGTAGTCCAACGGATTAGACAGACAGCCAAAATAAAAAAAGTACCAACAAATTAGTGCAAACATACATTGATCTAAGAATGCTGAGGTCTTGCTAAAACACATTACACTTGCTGCCCTGATTGGCACTGTCACAACCCGCAGGGAGTTTAGATGCCAAAGTTAATAGCACGTCTCGCCCTAATAGGTGTAAAGGGACTCTTAATGGTTACCGAGAGTTAGGAGTCAGTTAAGCACCCGTTCCAGCTGGGCGGGAAGTAAAGGTTTATGGTCAAAAGCTGGGGGTAGGAACTGTGAGACACAGAAGCAGCTTTTTTCCCCCATAAATCTTCCATAGAAGATGGAAGAACCTTACCTAGCAAAAGTAGTAGTTATACAATGCTTATTTCATTCTTCTATGTATCAAAAACATTGTTCTGGTTGTAGTTTTTCTTCTGTTGATTGAATTATGTCACAGACAGTCTTAAACAATGCACAATTGCTTTCAGGGGAGGAATATATTATGAATATCAGCCAGTCTTTACCAGCTAATTCTAGAGCTTAATATCAGAGACTACAGATATCAGGTGGCATGCTAAATGTTAAATGATGGTAAAAATTTCAATGACAGAAAGGGTTCAGAAAGTAGAGGGAAACACTGGACAATATTGATGTTTACCACTCTTTAAGCAGTTCTACACCTCCCGGGGAAGATTTACTTTAAAAAACCTAGTTTTACAGAAACATCTGTTAGGGGTCTTTGAATGAGAGCACATGACGAGGGATATAGTGTTTGAACAGAAATCTAATCATGCTATTAATGTTAAAAAATATGCAACTATGATTGAATGTACAGCTTCACAAATAAGCTGTTTAGTGCTGCAACTAACGTATTTTTTAAATCGATTCATCTGTCTAACATTTTTTCAATGAATCTAATAATAATCGGATAGCCAAAGGTACCTTAAAAAAGATTTTTTACGAAAGGAAATCAGGTGAAGCTAAAATATTTCCAATTGAGGAGTTCTGGATAGAACCCCTGAAGCCTGATTATCAAATATTGGTACCAGTATTGGCCACAGGAGACATCATACCAGTATCTCTCTCATTTAAAAATAATTTTAGATTTAGAACTTCCAGATCCCCTTAGATGGGCCAAGATTTACCCCATTTATCCCCTAAACCTACACCTGTAGCTAAATCTCACATATGCTCTGGAAGATTAACAAATTTTGAGGAATTGTTCAATAGCATTAGGAACACCTCTGTGAAAAAAAAAGAAAAAAAAAAGTAGATTAAATCTGTTGATCCTGCTAACAAACAATTTTCTTTTTTTTTTTTTTTTTTTTATCTTCAGTAAAATACGTCCAGACTTTTTGAGTCCATTGCTGTTGCTGTCAGTAGTCACTGCTGCCACCCTCTGGTTTAGTGGGGAACCACTTGTGCCACCACATGTCCCAATCACACAATGTTAGAGAATCTTTTTTGTTTTAAATGCTGTATCTGCATTATGAACGGGATTATCACCAACATTAACTGCTTGTTCCTTTGGCATCAGGGACACCTCTGGTAAAAATGTGATTAAAATCTGTTTGTAACTTTTAAAGTTATGCTTTACAGAATAACACATACAAAAACATAACCACTTTAGCAGAGGTAATTCTACTGCCCCAGGTTGATGAACCCCAGTCGGCCTCAGCAGATTGCTGCTCACACTGAGCCTGGTTCTCCTAGAGGTTTCGTCTTGTTAAAAGGGACTTTTTGCTCTCCACTGTTGCTGTAAGCATGCTTAGTGTGAGGGATTGCCTTCAAGTCAAGGAGTCGATGCAATCAACTGGTTTTCCTTAGATAACACATTTTGGATCAGTTTGACTGTATGATCTGGTTGAATTGTCTCTGTAAAGTGCCTTGAGATGACATGTTATGAATTAGTGCTATACAAATAAAATGAATTGAAACTGAAATGAATAGTTTTAGTTGTTACATTTCGGATCATTTAAAGGCTGCTTTATCAATAAAACTATTGCAATTCTCCACAAATCCTTTTTACATCCTTTTTCGCATATTCTTTTTCTGTATTCACATTATGAACCAAAAACCTCTTCCATCTTGTTGACCTTTAGTTAAATAATGAAAAAAAAAAAAAAACATATGACTAAGACTGCAGTGATTTCATTTTTGGCCAGTTTGTATCTCTGTAAATCAACTTGTAAATTTTGCTTGCCAACTACATCAGGAACCGTTTATGAAGGTGAGGGCATGTTTTTGCACACCGTAGGCCCTCCTATAGAAACATTTGCTACAGAGGTGGAGGTGGGATGAGTTACTCAGCAGAAAGCTTGAGTGCGAGCAGAAAATTGGACTCTGGGAATACAGCCACAATAAAATGTCTGCATTTCTGAATCGTTCATAACTTCTGACATGTTTTAGGAGTTACTTCATGCACGCTTCACAACAAAGCATGCATGTCAGTTCATCACCTCACTGAAATCAAAGCGCTTCTGTTCAAAGTCGCTGTTTCGGTGTAAACAAAGTGACAGTATTTATTAAAGCTTTGGAAGCAAAGGTGTACAGAAACGCTTTGTAAGATTATAAACTATGTTCAGATGCTCTGTAACATGCTGAATACTTTGGTATGATGGTCAAATACAGGCAATGTAAATGTAACATGTGGCAGGTAATAAAGCCAGAGATGAGAATTCATTATCAAGGGCAGAAAAGTAAAAGTTCCCCTGGGGGACCTGCAGAGATCAGGTAAGAGAATCGTATTAATGAAAAATTTTGTCTTTCTCTGCTAGTCTGGCCTTTATGCAAGAAGAAAGAAAAAAATTCTGTTTTCCATGTTGCCACAGGACATGTAGAGGAAACAGCAAACACATGGAACAAGAAAAACTATCCTTATGGTGTATCACGGTTGTGGCAGTGCCTCTATCATAGTGCTGTTTGTACTGAATATAAATCAGTAAATAATTTATCTAATATTTGTGATATGACTTTGAAGCACATTGTATTTTATTGTGTATTGTTTTTAAAGTAAATATTTCTAAAAGGGTTTGGGTAATCTTTGCAGTCTTTCAGAGACTTTTATTTTGTTTATATTGGGGTATCCTGATACAAATTTCTCATTTATTTGATACCAATATCACAGCCTTGAGTATTGAGTGATTCTGATATTGACCTGATTCTATATTATCATGAATCATACATACTTTTATTACTTCTTTTGTAGCATTGAATGATAGAAAAGGCTTGATTATGTGGCGTTTCTTAGACAGAAAACAATCATCAGGTATGAGAACAACTGACCCATTTCTTATTCACCAAAGAGTTATATAAACTTTAAACAAAAGCATATAAAAGGGATCAGAAGTCAGAGATCTTAGAGGAAAGCCGATATTCAGTTTTTGGCTGATATTAGACCAGTTTCCGATATCAATATCAGATCGGGATATCCCTAGTCTATATAGCAAAATCAGGGGGGCCAAGCATCATGCTTTGAGAGTGACAGTCAAGCAATATGACCCATTTTCACACCAGATGCCAGACATATTTCTCACACAAATTTCTTCAATCAATACTCATTCCGGACTACTTGCTTTAGTTCGGTTAACTCTGATGAACTGGCTGGGATAACCAATTCCAGAACGATCCAGAACGATAGTGTGTGACCTCATAAATGCACTTCTGGAAGAATAGTTAAAGATGTCCCATAAACACACCCCTAAACCTTGTGGTCAGCCTTCTCAGAAGAGTTGAAGCTGTTCTAGCTGTGAAAGGATGGACCAATGTCATATTGAGCCAATAATAATTAGAAAAGGGTTGTCACTAAAGCTCCTATGTGTGTACAACTTTGTGTTGATTTATGTCATAAAATTGATTTGACATGAAATTACATAGTATTGCCTATATGAAAAAGGCAAAAATGTATTACTAGTGCAAAATCCACTTAAGCATAACATATGTTTTTTTATGATCCATAATAAGAACTAAATAAAAAGCCTAAAAGAGCCTGTTGGTTTACTTTGTCATTATTGCTGAGGCTGACCCAGAATCTCTTTCACGTTTAGTCAGATCACACTGATAATGATTATAAAAAACGACCAATGAAAGACCCTGTGACCACACTTTCACTCCACATCGCAGAAACATAAATAAAAAACTAAGCTTTGGAAATAAAGGACACTGTAAAAGCTGGTTTTGATAGGTTACTGACGTCATTATGTCACCGTGTTTTGGCTCATATTCACTTATTGTTTCTGTAAAATGTTGAGCAATGTTTGAATGATTCAGTGTCCAAATTCTTGATGTAGAAGTAGCTCCAAGCCTGTGTCATTCATCAGCCTAATTACCTAAAACAAAAGTCTACCCAAACATCAACCCTCTGAAATGGGAAAACAAAGTCCATGAGGTCA